GGAGGGGAGGGGAGGGGAGGGGAGGGGAGGCACAGTATGAGCACAGTCTGCAGAAGCCGTAGTGCTGGTGGCTCTCCAAGATAGCTTCTTCGGAGGCACCTACGTGAAGCCTCCGCTGTCTCCTGGAGCTGGCCATCCCCAGGAAAACTGACCATTCTCCTGAACTCGACCGCCTAGCCCCAGGAAGCTAGCCTGAGTCCCTCATCCCTTCAGTGTCTCCCAAAGCTTCCAGTTTCTGTGTCTGTGCAACCATGAGCTGAAGCGACTGAGCTCCGATCTGCACCTGTCACCCCTTCCAAGGGACCCTCATCAGCCACCCCCGGTCTCCAGCCAGCTGCTTCTCTGCATCCCTCAAGGTCCCCACCTTCTTCTATGACCACAGGTAAGCAAGTTGTTCGTTTCCGAGGCTTAGACTAAGTACAGGTGCTCAGCATGCTTGGGGAGCCTGTGGTGTGAGTTCAGAAGGAAGTTAGCAACTTGTGAGCACTTAGGAAATGGTCATGTCAGAATGCTGGAAGTCACCTGCTGCTGGGCAAAATTCAGCCTCCTGGTTGACTCTGCTGGACCCACTCAGAACACTGTGAACAGACCACTTCCTAGGGGCTGTGGAGACTTCTGTCTTGTAGTAGTGTTTATCCTTATCACTCCGGTCCTCTTGTTCATTTATCTCTTCATTCAGTGAGTATTCTACACACTTACATGAATTAGATGAACAGACAATGGTGGGATTTACTGACATGAAAGGTAGCAAGTCCTCCACGGCTTGTGTGGATCAAGGTTGGGGTTAGACAAAAAGTACTGCTTCAGCTGGTGAGGGCAAAATAACCTTCAAGATTCTACCTGACCTTGATAGCTTACTCTCCTGTGATGAGCAGAGCACTGAACAGAGCAGCCATAGAAGCAAAGCATGAGCCCTCCATCCCTGGAGCGTGTTAGTGAGTGTTATTTGGGAAATGAATGACTGGTATCATTTCTTCTCATCTGGGGGTCTCTTTGGTGGAGAACTGGGGTTGTCTGTGTAGTGCTGAGTCATCAGGGGTTTCTGGATGGCAGTTGGGAGGGGGAGCTAAGCATGTTTGGGGGAAGAGGCAGTACTTCCAGAAAGGACAGAGTGTGTTCTGATGAGTGGGCCACTAAGAAGCAGTTGCAGTAGGAAGGTGGACAAGGTAGAGGGTCCAAGTTATACTGGCTTCCGTGGATTTGAACCGAGGTAGATAAGCAAGGTTGTAATAAGTGCTGGGGCTGTGGGGGTGTGGTAGACCCTGGTGAGTATCACCCCAATGGGAAGGTTCACACCTGAGCCCTTTACATGTTGAGTAATTTTTGTTTGTGTGATTGTTTGCATAGATTGCATTTACCCAGACTTAACAAATAGTGACATCACTCCACCAGCATCCGTACCCCAGAACTGCTAATCCTCTGACACTCGGGCTCAGAGTCCAGAGCCTTTCACTTTAAATCTTTGTAACTAGTGGTGGAAGGTTACTCTAATTACTACTGATTACGCGGAACAATTTCTTCTTTGGTTTCCGGTGACAAATTAATGAAATGATCACAGTAGGCTAATTACAAAAGGTGGAAATCAGAGGCAACTCAAACACAGCCTCTGGAGCCAATGGTGTCTCATTTACACATTGCTCTAGACAGTCCTTAACAGACATCTCTTTCCTAGTCTATAAACAGCACAACTTCAGCACTCCTGCATCCCTGGCCTCATTAATAGGAGGGAGCATATCTTTATTCCTTGTGATAACACTCAGACCATAATCTTGGAATCTGCAGCCATGGTATCAGTTAAAAGGAGGAGTCAGTGGCCTGTACACAGAAGAACATTCTAGAACTTTGGACCCAGGCAAGCCAGCTTGGGGATGAACAGCTTGTTCATCACAGACCCCAGTATTGATGGTGTCTTGGCAATAATGACCATAGTGTCTGTGTTTCTAGAATGTTGCCAAGTATTTGCTGAGTGAACTCTTGTATGGTCACCCAAGTGGTTGATACTACCACCATATAATTCAGAAGCAGGGGCTTGAGTTTGCCTCAGTTTTATCATTTCTACGCTCTGTGAACTGGATAGATTTATCAACTTCTCCAAGCAGCAATTTTTAATTACACATAGGAGACAGACAGTACTTTCCCTCCAGGTCCTCCCAGGGGCAACGTAAATCCTCATGTTGGATCACAAGGGTGCCAATGTGCTTTGTAAAACTGAGGGATATCAATACGACTTGCTCTTAGGAAGACATGTTAACATGAGACGGACCCTGGAGTGGTCCTTACCCAGCCTGTTTCCTAGCATAAGAACAAATCAGTGTGTCTTCTTGCCCATGGGATGCTGGATATAAGGACCTGAGGTTTTTAATTTTTATAATTATCAATTACTTTATGTGTACAATTGTGTTTCAGGCATGTATGTCTCTATGCATCATGTAGGTGCCCTGTGCCTGTGGAAGGCAGAAGAGAACACCAGGTCCCTGGAACTAGGGTTACAGGCCATCGTAAGCTGCCTGATGTGGGTGGCTCTTGGGAACTGAATCCAGGGCTTAAGTACTGAGCCATCTCTCCAGTTCCAGGAACTGAGTTCTGTAACTCCTCTTTATAACCCCTGGCTGGTTGTGGCAGTGACAGTGAGACTTAAGTCACTCTCTTGTGCAGGTAAATTTGAAGGCCTGGTGGCCTTCAGGATCCCCAAGGTAGAAAGGATGAGAGGAAGAGAGAAAGAAAGGCATAGGACAAGCCACCCACTCCAGGCCTCTCAGCTTAGCCTAGCTATAGTCTTTCTTGGGGGTCTGCACAGAAATCAAACTTAAGGAAGGGCTTCCAGAATGGGTGGCTATTTAAAGCCTGGAAGAGAAGCTCAAGGAGCCGGGGCATTGAAGCCAACAAGGGGGACAAATAAATATGTCAAGGATCACCTCAGAGTTCATGACTCATGAGTTATCTAGAATTGTTCTGTCTTATGGTTCCTCTCTGTCATTCAAATGATTTCAATCTCTGTCCATTACTTAGGGTATACATTGCTGGCATTGGCAAAGGGTAGGGGTAGGGGAAAGAAATGAATAAAGAATGGGTCACTGGGGGTCTGGGGAGATGGGATGATGGATAAAGAGCTTGACATACAAGTGTGAGCACTGGAGTTCAGAAACCAGGTAAAAGTCAGGCAGGTGTGGAGGCTGCTTATAATCCTAGCAGGTTCGAGGCAGAGCTGTGGGGTCCCCTAGGGCAAGCTGGATAATAGCTTCAGGTACAGTGAGAGACCTTGCCTCTATAAATAAAGTGGTGATTGATTGAGGAAGAACCCCAGTTTCAACTTGGGGCCTTCACGTGTACACACACACACACACACACATACACACACACATACACACACACACTCCACATACACACATACTGCACAATATACAAATTACACATAAATTAAGTAACCAGATTATGACAGCTATTTCCCCTGCTTACATTTCCTGCCTGCAGTGGCAAGCCTTGGTCTTCCTCATCAACTCTCCAGGCCTCTGTTCTCCCTAGACACATTTTGCAAAAGGCACAGAGTGGGCAGGGAACTTGGTCTTCATTTCAAGAATCAAGAGTTTACAACAGGACTTCTGAGTCCTCAATCTAAGGAGAGAATTCTCAGCAGGATTCTCCTCTTCTTGGAACCTCTGCTCCCTCTGCCCAGTTTTGGCGACATTTGAGAGTTTAAATGTCTTAAACCTAGTGAGATTACAGATGGACTCTGATATACTGTTACTATGGTGATTAAAAAAACAACAAACAAACAAACAAACCAGGTAGTGCCATGTGCCAGGCCCTCAGCCTACAGACAGCAAACACAGCACCATGGTGTCCCATCTTAGACCACCATCTCAGACTCCAGCACCATGGCGTCGTCCTGAGTTGACATTCTACACTTTAAATACTATCTCCTCATCCCCACCTGACTCTAAGTTCTGTCTCTGGGGATCTGATGACTCCAGGTGCCTCTTCTTAGAACTGGAGTCACACAGTGTTTGTCCTTTTGTGTCTATCTTATTTCAGTGAGCATGCTCAAGGTTCACTCCTGTCAGGTTCTTCCTTTTGAAGGCTAGATGATCTCCACTGAGAGCACAGACAATGCTTTCTTTATTATGTCTCTTGGGGACATAGGCTATTCCTCCCATCACACAAGTCACCCTGATTGCTTGTATCTATTCAGATGGCGGACTGGAATCTAAGTTCTATGTGAATCTGGAGTGAAGCTGCACCTGTGAGGCTGGAGGAGAACACACGGTGGGTGTCGCTGCATACTAAAAAGACTTCTCAATATTATGCTTATGGTAGGAAATTTACAAAATGTAGAAATGTAGAAAAGTGTCAAAAAGTTTTAAAAAGTCTCTGGGCAAGGGAGAAATGGTCTCCCCCTCTCTCCTTGTCACCTTTGACAGGCAGGAGAGCTGACTCTGAGCCCATCAGAGTGGGAGCTGGCTCTGTCCTCACTGGCTACAGCATTCAAGAGAGCAGGCCCTGCACAGTAGAGCTGACCCTGGGGGTGGGGAGTGCAGGTGAGCCAGCCCTGATGGTGGAAGCACGAGAGACCTGGGCCCCACAAGTTGTCTGCTATGCAGTGGTGCAGATGAGGAAGGCATGCCCTCCTGCTACTCCGCGACCTTTGTCCCTCACCAGCTATGGCAGGCAAGAAAACTGGCCCCAAGATCATGAGAGTGTAAGAACTGGCTGTTCCACACCTGCAACATTTGGGAGAGCAGGCCCTGTACCTCCGCTGGGCAGGAAAGTAGAGCTGGCCCTGGTTGTGGGGATTGCAGGTATGCCAACCCTGAGGTCATGAGAGTAGGAGAGTTGGCTTTACCCCTTGCTGGGGGTGGCATTGGATGACCTAGTCCGGGCAGGGATAGAAAGCTTGGTGTGGTGAAGGAGTGCCGGCAGGCTGACCAGCTCAGATACCTCTCAGGCCCAGATCCAGGGCTTTGTGGTCTACCCCAGCATCTACTCCATCCATGAACTGCTAGAGCATGGGAAGGGGCTGGTCCTACAGATCCAGAACTAAGGTTCTCCATGACACAGGGCAACAACAGGATGTCTGAGAGGAGTCCTGATGAGGTTCTCGTATTCACAGTGTAGCAGAAGCCAGAGACCTCGAACAGACCAATGACTCATTGCAATGAACATTTGCAAGCAAACAAGTATGGACAAAGGGTACATACATTGTGGGACATACTGTGACACAGTGCTGCTTCCACTACATGATTTTTTTCCCTTTTCTTTTGTGGTGGGGGAGGTTGCAAGGGTGGAAGGCAAGTATGAAGGGATGGAGAAACGAGTGGGACTGGGGTGCCTGACGTGAAATTCACAAAGAACCAATAAAAAATTTAAAAAAAAGTTAAAAATGCCTCTAATCTAGGCCCCCAGAGACAACAGGTGACTGCAGACACACAGGAGGACAACATAAAGATGAAAGAACATGCTGGTTCTGATCACTTTCCCTGGAATTGAAGGAGCTGGAGTTAGGGAAGCAGGCCCAACACCAGGCTGTGGCTGCTCCAGAGATAGCCAATGATCAGTGAGGGCAGATTCCCAGGGCAGGTCTTCCTGTTGCTCCTCTGTAGGGGGCGCTGTTCTGGACGAGCTTTCCAGAGCTGACACCTTTTGCAAATCACTAGCTTTTTAAACCCATTCCTTGGGACATTTGAGGAGGGGTCAGGACAAAACCAGTCACCTCTATGGTAACCAAGGCAATGCAGAGAAAGGTGTGCAGAGTGTAGCACAGGCACAGAGGTGGTCAGGGTAGTATTCTTCCAAGGGAGCAGGTGATGAACAAAAATCTCAATTTTTAAAAAAGACCTTTTTTTGAGGTTACGATGTAATCACATAGTTTCTGCTTCCCCCTCCCCCACAATCCAAACCCTCCCATGCTCATCCATCCCCCTTGCTCTTTTTCAAATTCCTGGCGTCTTTTAAAAAATTATTCATATATATACATGGCCTGCTTAAGCTGTATATAATGATACTTTTATGTATGTTTCCAGGGGTGAGCATTTGGTACTAGAGAACTAACTGGTGTGCTCTCTCCTGAGGGAGGCCATTTCTCCAACTCTCAGCTTTCCTTAGCTGACTGTAGTTCTTTGTGCTGGAGATGCATTATGAGCTTCCCCTTCCATGTTTGCATATCTACCGTTGTGATTGTACTGGCTAGTTTTGTGTGATAACTTGGCACAAGCTGGAGTTATCACAGAGAAAGGAGCCTCCCTTGAGGAAATGCCTCCTTGAGATCCAGCTGTAAGACATTTTCTCAATTAGTTGATGAAGAGTGGGAGGGCCCATTGTGAGTGGTGCCATCCCTGGGCTGGTAGTCTTGGGTTTTATAAGAAAGCAAGCTGAGCAGGCCAGGGGAAGCAAGCCAGTAAGCAGCACCCCTCATGGCCTCTGTGTCAGCTCTGCTTCCAGGTTCCTGCCATGTGAGTTCCAGTCCTGACTTCCTTTGGTGATGAACAGAAGTGTGGAAGTGTAAGCTGAATAAACCCTTTCCTCCTCAACTTGCTTCTGGTCATGATGTTTGTGCAGGAATAGAAACCCTGACTAAGACAGTCATCCTTGCTCAGTTCATGTTGATGAGACTTGGGTGTAGCTTCTGACGTTTCTAGGAGACACGGTCTCACAGCAAACTCCCTGTTCCTCTGGCTGTGACCATCTTCCCTACCTCCTTTCACAGTGACTCCCAAGCCTTAGTTCAGGTGCAGGAGTTCCGTTGTAAATGTATCAGTTGGGACTGGATGGTCTCTCTATACATTGCTAGTTCCCAGAGGAGGCTGCTCATGGAGGATCTGGCTGGGTGGAGAGGTTGAATGTGGTGGTGAGGGGTGGGGGTGGGGCGGGGGTGGGAAGGCTTGTCTCCCAAACACACCCTGGAGCTGTCAATTATAGTAGTAAATAAATATGTCCCATAAACTACAGCATGTTGGCATTCCCCGTTCACTCTTTCTCTACTTGGCACGGACAGTCACTATGTGTTCCCACTGGGTCACAGTGCATTGGCCTCCACAGAGCAACCCAGTGCCTGGCCCCCCTCTTCAGTGTTCTGGAGCTCACACACAGATGCCTATGACACCACTGGACTATGAACTTGTTCTGGAAGGTCATAGCTACCCTACAGATAAGATGAACTCTCAGAGCTGTTAATGGCATGGCCTGGATTCAAAGTTACGTTTGCAGACTCTGGATGGGGTAAGAAGCACAATGCAGAACGGTGACAGTTTGGAGGAGAGACAGCAGCAGCTGGTGGTGCTAGACTCTCGGCTGGTCATTTGGGACAGGATAGAATAGACTAAAGGATGAAGACCAGAGGAAACAGCTTTACAGTTCCATTGGTAACAATGGTGATTCCAGATTCCTGCATGGATGTAGCTACTTCTATGTTTAAAGCATCCTCTTACACGTATTTATGAAGCCATGGTTAAGAACACACAATATTAAACTATGAATGGCATTCTGAACTTTAGGAATGCTGTGCACCTATCACCATTCCAAAACATCTCAGAATATCCAGAACATTCTCATTACTGTCAAAAGGAAACACCATGTCTGTGCTAAGAGCTAGTGTTCTATCTTGAGTCTGTGTACATAAGGTACCACACATGGACATTTGGACATATAAACTCTGTGTATGTGTGTGTGTGGGGGGGTGCACGTGTGTGCACATATATTCAGAAGCCACAATCTCAGATATTCTTCAGGTATTATCTTTATTTTTGAGGCAGGACCTCTTACTGGGACTAGGGCTCAAATGACTAGGTTTGACTGGGTGGCCAGCAAGTCCCAGAGGTCACCTGTTAACAGACTCTTTCAATATGGGGCTTGTTTCTCTCACATAGCATGTTTTTAGAGTTCATCCCAGCAATCGCAACCATCATGTTAGTACTTGATTCTTTCTGATGTCTTCATTGTATCCCATTGTTACATCGCTCAACACTGATGGCATTTGCTTCCCTTCATCTTTGGGTCATTGTCGCTAGTAGCCAAATACTGCTGCTGACCACCGTGTCCAATGTGGTTAGTCCCACTTTATAGATGAAAAGTTGAGGCCACGATAACAGGAAGGCTAGAACCTTCCGTTGTGAAGGTCAGTCATGTCTTAGCTTGTTAGCTAAGTAGCGAATGATCCAGTGGCTCTGGAAAGAAGGAGAAGTCTGTCTCCTCAGTGAAGCTGAGCCTCCAAGGAGCCCCATAAGCCAGGCAGGCCTGCAGCCAGCCATTTGCTGAGCTTCTAAACCTTTATGGAGTAGAAAAGACAAATACACTGCATGTCACATGGTTTGACCCTAAGAGTCTTCCCTGGCTTACTCAGTTGCAGAGAGACAGAACTTTCCAGAAGCCAGCTCCTGGTAGTCCAAGGGAAACCAGACCCTCTGAAGCCATGGCCTCCTCCCATCGTGCTCTCCAGTTCTGGATACATCTTTATCTTCTGATGCCAGCAGGTGAGTGGGTACCACCACTACCACTAGGACTTCCTCTCACCACTATGTGCTCACAGACCACATAGTAGACTCTCCTGAAGGCCAGCCCACTTCATTCTCAAGGGTACAGAGGGCACTTAAGGTCATCGGCTGCATGGCCACTGCCACAGGGTGAAGATGAAAGGCTGCTTCAACTCTAGTATTAGCAGCTTTGTTGCCTTTTGTTCCAAGCTTTAGGGTTCCCGACCTCAAAGTGCAAACATCATCATAGACCACTCAAGATTACTGTGGGGATGAAGGAAGCTTACACATAGCACACAGGCTAGAGTAGATAGGTGGGTATGTACACAATAGCTATGGTCATTTCTATACTTTTTATCCCAATGGCTGCTGAAGATGTTCTGGTTTTTTATAAGGTAGCGCTTTGCCTACTCAGACAGCAGAGCTATTATGCAAAACATAGTGCAAAAGACATGATAAATCCCTGCAGACAGTTTTGCAGAGCTTTGCACAGCTGATAAGAACTGGTCAGAGCTGGTGATTTAAGAACTCAGGGTGGTACCCTGCATGGGAGATGTTCTCGTGGCATCAGTAGCTTGTTGTAGAAGTTGATGGAAAGGAAAAAAAAATCTCACTGTCAGCCAGGCTCATAGCAGTGGGTGAAGCCCCTCTCAGCTGTCTCCTATTCTCACTCCCTTCACCCCATACTGTTCGAGGTTCTTTGGTTCTGGCTGAGACTGGTTTCTAGGTCTGAGCTTTCTTGCTCAACTGTGGCAACCCTCACTCCCTGACTTTTACTTAAAATCAGGAAGGCACCAGGAGTGTTTGCTGTTTGCCTAGTGTGTTATTATGCAAACAGAGTAGTCTATTGGTGCTGTGCTAAGCACCACTTTGCATTAATCTATGGAATCCCCAATGGGGTTTACAGAGGGCTTCCTATGTGCACCCGTGTACCAAGGCTACATGATGTTGAACGCCACCGCTTTGATGGGAAGTAGAAGGAAAGACACAGGCTTACTTCCTTGATCTCATGCAGATTCTTTCTTTTCTGTCCCTATCCCACAGTGTTGGCCCAGCAAGGCTCACACATCCATGCTGAGGACCGCCTGTTCAAACACCTGTTTGGAGGCTATAATCGCTGGGCACGGCCAGTGCCCAACACTTCCGATGTGGTCATCGTGCGCTTTGGACTATCCATTGCCCAGCTCATAGATGTGGTAGGCCTGACCTTTCATGCTGCATTCCCTTGAGCAGCCCCCAGCTCACATGATCCTTCTCTTGGTCCTCCCTGGATTCAGCTTAGCCCTTCTCCCACCAGCCCTCAAAGCCCACCCTGGTCACAGCGTGCAGCTACCTTGTTGAGTTGCCATGGTGCCTTCCCAAGCCTTGGAGCCCCCAAGAGTTTAGGATATCAAAAGATGGTTTTCTAAAACACGTGTTCAAACCCCCTCCTCTGTGATCCGGGTGACCCTGAAGAATCTGAGTGCTGGTAACATGAGGGGTGGCTAGACTTGAGTGTCCTGAGGGTAGATCTTCAAAGTGCCTCCTATGCACTCTATCTTCTGGGCTGGTTCATCATTCACCCCAACTGTCTTTACTTTCTGTCTTTGCTACCCCAGGATGAGAAGAATCAAATGATGACCACAAATGTCTGGCTAAAGCAGGTAAGCCTTCCCTAGTAGGAGCTGGTAGACATGTGTAGTCTCCAGTCCCTTCTAGGACCCTCTTTATCAAGCAGCAAAATGCTAAATTCATGGGTTATGATCCGTAGTCGCCTAAAGTGTGAGGCAGCTGTGGTACTGCAGGCCGCTCTCCCTGGGGCTGGTTTTTGTTTGGCCATTCTCTTATTCAATTGTTCTTTTCACTCACATCACCAAGGGACACCTTTCTAGAAGCAAGCATCTCACTGTCCCAGGTTTACAGCACAACTCACTGAATCAGCATCCCGTCATCATAGGACAAGGGTACCCAGGTGTGCCCAGCTCCAAGACCCATCTCCTTCTATGTGTGTCTTAGAGTCAGTGCTACCTGACAAATGACCCCAGAGCTCACAGGCATAAAGCAATGACCCATTTACCACACTGCATGCACTTGTGACTTGGTGGTCAGATGGCTTTCTCTGCTTCAAATGGTGACTAAGGTACTTGGTGGCACCGGGCCAGCTGTGGTTAGTTTGCTGCTGTCTAAAATGGCTTCAATTACATCAGCAATTCTCAACCTATGGGTCACAGCTCATTGGTAAACCTCTATCTCCAAAAATATTTATATTATACTCATAACAGTTGTGAAATAGCAATGAAATCATTTTATGGTTGGATGTCACCACAACATAAGGAACTATATATTAAAGGGCTACAGCATTAGGAAGGGTGAGAACCGCTGCCTTACATGTCTGTCTTTTACATTGGTATTTGAAAAGTTCTGGAAGATTCCAAAAGGCTGGGATCCTCCATACACACTCTCAGGTTCCTTCCCTAGGGACTCTTTGGAAGGAGGTTTGATGGATTCTCACTTGGTGGTTCAAGCCTCCCTGAGTGAGGGTCCCAAGAGACAGAAAGTAGAAGCTGGTAGACATTTATGAATCTATAGCGGTCCCCTGCCCTCAGCTTCATACTCTGGCCCTTTGGGTACCAGACTGGCCCGGACTCAGAGGCTAGCAGGCAGAAACCCACAAAGACCAAGATGATGACATTTCAGAATCATTCAAATAGGTCCCTTGCTCACTGTGGGGGTCCTACATACAATCCCTGACTCACTTGGTTCTGGATGCGTGATAGCTACTTCTAAACTAGATGCTTGGGTCAGGGGCTGGTCTGAGCCAATCGCTTCCGACATTGTTCACTCTGGAGTCATTGGAGGTTCTGAACCTCATCTCTTTGGATGAACTGATGGGAACCAGAGTGAGGAGGAAGCTTTGAAAGGCATGCAGTCATGTCATGGAGGGGGTGGGGGATAGGTCTAGATCCTCGATCACCACAATTGTCCTGGTCACTCATGCCAGGGCTTGTGGAGAAGAAAGAGCACTGTGGTAGAGCCTGGCCTTCTGCAGCTGCCTGGGACTAGCCTGAGATGCTGGAGAAGTTATTAACCCACTGAGAGGCCCTTTCTCCCCATCTGTGAAGGGGTGACTCATCTATCTTAGGCCTATGACATTCAAATGCCCTCATTTGATGTAAGTGTCCCCAAATGTATGAACCTGAAATCCTGAAAGATGGACCAGAGAGAGTAAGGGCTCTGGACTGAGGACTAAAGGCTGATGCTCAGTTTGATACAGAGCTTGCCTGGGTTTGATTCCCTAGCACCAATTACACTGGGCCTGGGGGCTCATGAACTCAATCCCAGAGCTTGGGAGAAGGGCTGAGGAGCAAACGTTTAAGGCCATTTTTTTTTTTTTACCTTCCTAGTAAGTTGGAGGCCAGCATGCACTACACAATATCCTATTAAATAAACAAATAAACAATAACAAAACAAACAAAATCTGGTTTTAAAATCCACTTGGACCTGCTCTGGTGGAAGAATAGTTGGGACTTAGAGCATTCTCTTCCTGCTGAGATACCTGGACAGGGAGATCTCCAGAGCATAGTTTGAAGTCATGGGTAACTCTCCTGGCTTCACTGGCTATCTCTGGCAAGCCCTGCATGGAGAAGGAGTGACTGTGTGACAGATTCAGAAAGTGGGGAGCGTCCGAACAAGGGCCAGAGGTACAGCTAGAGGGCCAAGTGTGCTGGCGCTGGCATCCTGGGATTCTGACTACCGAAGTCAGAGCAAAACAGGCTGATTATCAGAAATGCTTTGCCTTATACCCACACCAGAGCTTTTTCCTGGCATCACAGACTCTTTGGATTCCGTGGGGCTAGAAGAGGGACTCAGGGGTCCTACAAGTCCCACAGTTCCTTTCAGATCATCTTGAGGTCCCCGGTGAGGGTGAGGCAGTGCCCTGATGTGACCACTCCCCCGAGCAGGAATGGAATGACTACAAGCTGCGCTGGGACCCCGCTGAGTTTGGCAACATCACCTCCCTCCGCGTCCCCTCAGAGATGATCTGGATCCCAGACATTGTTCTCTACAACAAGTAAGAAGCCATTTATTAATTAAAGTGTATCTTGGGGGAGGGGCATGGGAGAGGAAGCTCAGTGAGTAAGAACTCTTGCTGAGCGAGCAAGAAAATCCAAGTTTGAATCCTCAGCGGTCACATAAAAGCTGGTCATGGATGGTGCTCTGTCTCTGTCTGTCTGTCTGTCTGTCTGTCTGTCTGTCTGTCTGTCTGTCTCAATGTGTGTGTGTATGTTTTGTGTGTGTGTGTGTGTGTGTGTGTGTGTGTGTGTGAGAGAGAGAGAGAGAGAGAGAGAGAGAGAGAAAGCTTTAGCACTGGGGGTAGGAGAGACAAGCAGATCCTAGGAGCTCACTGGCCAGTTTAACCAAAATGACAAGCCTAAGATTCTTGAGAACCTGTCTCAAGAAATAAAGACGGAGCATGATCAAGGAGAGACACTGAAGGCAACCCCGCCTATACACACTCAACTATGTAGAAGCACTCCCCACACATGTGCACACATCACACATGTGTGCCAGTACTCTCGATCTCTCTCATACATACATACATACATACATACACACACAAACATGCATCCATATATGCACACAGGCACACACTCATGTGCACTGGCATCCCACCACACATGTGCATGTAACACACACACACACAAACACACAAACACACACACTTTCTCATAAAAGAAACTAAAACCTATTCTTTCCTTTTGGCTTGGGAAAGGTTTCACGGAAAAGTACAGATGTTAAATACTTAACCGATGGCAGTGTCTCTTGCTAGTACACTTTCTAAAGCAGTGTCTCTTGCTAATACACTTTTTAAAGCAGTGTCTCTGGGAGACACTGCTACCTTCTTGATCATCCTATTGGCATGGAAGATTCTTGGTGGTGGTAGTGTGACATAATTTTAGATACCATAGTCAACCCCCTGGTGGTCTAAACCCTAAACACCTGCTGTTTGCTGCTGCAGGAGTCATATGCCCCCCCAACCCCCAGGCCCCATCTCTGTGCCCTGAGCTGGCACCTAGGATCCTTCCAGTTTCTGCTTCTGTCTGACAGATCTAGAGCAAAGTCCCAGCAGTGAACATATCTGGGTTTCAAGATTGTCAATAAAGACAGCTGGTTCCTGATACCTGATTGCAACAAGTTCTTCTGGTAGGACAAAGGCTCGTCCCAACTGCTGCAGGCATTTAAAGGGCGTGTGGAGCACACCCTCCTCCAGGTTAATAGGTAAAGGGTCAATGAAATCACATGGTCTCTTCCACCAAATGGGAGCCTTCTGCCATCTAGTGGTAGTTCTGTGAAATGACAAAAATTATCACTACAGGTTTGGGTTGAATGTAGGAATTAGGGGTGGAGTTTAAGGACTAGACTATATTTCTATCCAGGAGAACTGAGAGTTCTCTGAAGTCCTGCCTGCCAATCTCTTCCTTGTTCCTGTGAGGCCTCCTGTTTTTATGCCCTCGTCTCCATCTCCCAGGTCAAGGCCTAATTAAACAGAAGCTTTCACAGTAATCCTGTTGAGCCCAGCCAGAAGTCCCTCCTGGTCTCAGAAGCATTCCAAATGTCCAGTTGCATGGCAATGTCATGTGAATATATTTCATTTCCATGTATCCCCAAGGACAGGGACCACATCTCACATCCCTCAAGTACAGGCCCTGGTAGACGAAACTGCTAAACTCACAGACTACAGGACATTTCCTCACCAGCCAAAATGTTAGTCTCTTCTGGAAAGGAACAAAAGATCTGGGTACAAAATCTAGGATCCCCCACTTCTAGAACTCAGTTCCCATTTGCATCATGAGGGAAATCAAAACACTCAAAAATCATTACTCTAGTCAGGTATGGTGGAGCACACCTGTTATCCCAGAATTCAAGATACTGAGGCAGGAGGATCACAAGTTCAAATCCAGCCAGCAAGTTGTGGGCCATCTGGGGCTACCTAGTAAGACCCCTGTCTCATAAATCAACAATAAAACCCATAAAAACTTCAACATACTAAGTGGATAAAACCAGGATCAGACTATAAATGTCCCATGAGTTGAAATATGTAAAATTAAGGAACAGTCTTTATGACAGCCAGATATGTAATTAAAACATCCAAATGGCAAAAATGGTTATTTTTAAAATTTATTTAAAATTTTTACTTCTGCAATTAAAACAGTAGCATTTGAAGAGACAACTCAGGTACATCTGTCTGTAGGAAAGATTCACAACCTTGCACGGATCCCTTACTTAGCTAGTCAGTAGTGACTTTGTTTACCTAGTTGCTCTACTTCATGGAGGATGCAGATACGCAGGACCCCAGCTTGTCTCCTCTTCCCAGTGCAGATGGGGAGTTTGCGGTGACCCACATGACCAAGGCTCACCTCTTCTTCACGGGCACTGTGCACTGGATGCCCCCAGCCATCTACAAGAGCTCCTGCAGCATCGATGTGACCTTCTTTCCCTTCGACCAGCAGAACTGCAAGATGAAGTTTGGCTCCTGGACATACGACAAGGCCAAGATCGACTTGGAGCAGATGGAACGGACGGTAGACCTGAAAGACTACTGGGAGAGCGGCGAGTGGGCCATCATCAACGCCACTGGAACCTATAACAGCAAGAAGTACGACTGCTGCGCGGAGATCTACCCTGACGTCACCTACTACTTCGTTATCCGCAGGCTGCCGCTCTTCTACACCATCAACCTCATCATCCCGTGCCTGCTCATCTCCTGCCTCACCGTGCTCGTGTTCTACCTGCCCTCCGAGTGTGGAGAGAAGATCACGCTGTGCATCTCAGTGCTGCTCTCTCTCACCGTCTTCCTGCTGCTCATCACGGAGATCATCCCGTCCACCTCGCTGGTCATCCCACTCATCGGCGAGTACCTGCTCTTCACCATGATCTTCGTCACCCTCTCTATTGTCATCACAGTCTTCGTGCTCAATGTGCACCACCGCTCCCCCAGCACCCACAACATGCCCAACTGGGTGAGGGTGGCCCTGCTAGGCCGGGTGCCCCGGTGGCTGATGATGAACCGGCCCCTGCCACCTACGGAGCTCCATGGCTCCCCAGGTCTGAAGCTCAGCCCCACTTATCATTGGCTGGAGACCAACATGGATGCTGAAGAAAGGGAGGAGACGGAGGAAGAGGAGGAAGAAGAAGAAGAAAACATATGTATGTGTGCAGGCCTCTCAGACTCTTCCATGGGTGTTCTCTATGGCCACGGCAGCCTGCATCTGAGGACCATGGGGCCTGAGGTCAAGGCTCCATCCCAGGCTAGTGAGATCCTGCTGTCACCTCAGATACAGAAAGCACTAGAAGGTGTGCACTACATTGCTGACCACCTGAGGTCTGAGGATGCTGACTCTTCGGTGAGCTGGGCTGAGGGAAGGGCCCCTCCATGGGTGATTCTGACAGCTTAGCAGGGAAAAATACCAGCCCAGGTTACCCCTTGGGTAACCCCTTCCCTTCTTGTAAGGGCGGTTTCCTTCAGTCATGTGGAACACTAGCTAGAAGTTCTTTGGTCACTTCCTGGCTGATGGCAGAATCCCACAGGGCCCATCCCAGTCTGTTCAATCTAAGTGGGAGAGAGTGAGCAGAGATTGGGGAGCTCAGATGCTGGTCTCCATCCACTTTGGCTTTTGCTGGGCAGCCTTTCTGTAGGAGGGTGGGGGCAGGGCAGGGAGATTGAGAGATTGCTTTGTGCGGGGACAGAAACCAAGTACAAATGCATCAGCTCTGTGTGTCGTTGGCCTCTGCAATACAGTAGAGGGTCTCCTCCACTGGGCTCTGGGCATTCTGTGACTTTCCCTATTCACTTGCAAACCCTGCAGATTCTTGGCTGAACCAGGGAGGGCTCCCCTCCCTCAGTGCTGCATATAGTAAGTATTTAGCGTTCAGAACCTGGCTGTCCCTTTACCAACCAAAGGAGGAGTGAAAGGTCTGTGGCTACTGTAAGATGATCTTACTGAATAGAGAAGAACACTGACCATTCATTTGGAAATGTCTGAGAATTTAGATCCTGTGGCTTGGCCTATGAGCTGAAGAGCAAAGCCCCAGCTCTTCCACACTGACTTGCCCTGGGCTACAATCTGCCTCTTTCTGTCCCCTTCAGCTGTGTGGGGAGATAGCCCATTATTAGGCAGCTATGTGACTACATTTAGATTTTCCAGATTTTGAAGGCCTGTGCCCTCTTGGCGGTCTTAGAGTCTCCTCATGTCCCTCTAGACTCTGGAACCTGGCAGTGCATGGGTATGGGGAAAGATAGAATGAGATTCCCAGGGATGTATCAGCCCTGAGCTAAGCCTGTTTCTATCTCTACCCATCTCTATGTGTGGGATAACCTTGACTTCGCAAGCCTGGCTATGCCACACATAGGGTACACAAGAACCCTGGTGACTGCTACCTCAATGGGGGTGGATGTGGGAGGGACACTTCCTCTTCCCAAAGCCTGGCTCTTGTCACTGTAAGCCCAATTCTAACTCTAGGTGAAGGAAGATTGGAAGTATGTGGCCATGGTGGTAGACCGGATATTCCTCTGGCTGTTCATTATTGTCTGCTTCCTGGGGACCATCGGGCTCTTCCTCCCTCCATTCCTGGCTGGAATGATCTGACTTCATGTCCCTCATGTTGGCTCCTACGTGGCCTGGACTTCTGTTCTTCTGTGACTGAAGCTATCTCTAGAATATTCTTTTGACTTGATACCATCTACCTGCGATGTTTTTACAATGTTCCCAACCTAGCCTGGACTTCTTATCCTCCTTGCAACAGCTCATGGTGCCATTACTGTGACAAGCACTGAGACCACTCAACAAGATATCTATTTAGGAATGCTGAGGAACTAGAAGAGGTGAAGGCTGCTCTGTAGAAGGTGACAACATGGTCGTGACATGGGGGAGAACAAGATATCCCGAAAGAGCAATAGGAACTGTGTATGGCAAAGGGTCAAACAAAGGGATAGAGGGGTCAGACCAGGGCAAAGGGAAATAGAACACTGACCCAAAGTCGGACACATGGGGACAATGGGGGTGCCTGGTGTGGAAGAGTTCTTCTCAACACTGTGGATTCAGAGTGTCAGAGAGGACAGAAAACTGGGTTGGGGAGGCGGGGAGGCGGGGAGGCGGGGAGGGCGGGGAGGGCGGGGAGGCGGGGAGGCTGGCAGGCTGGGGTGTTTTTAATCTAAGCCTAGGAAGAAGCTCAGAGTCTGCTCTGAACCTGTCTCTATGTGCTTTGTGGGAAATGTCAGAGGGATAGGGCTACTTCCAGAAGGAGTGGGACACGAAGAAAGTTCTAGAACAGTGGTTCTCAGCTTATGTTGTGGGTTGCAACCCTTTGGGGAGTCGAACAACTCCTTCACAGGGATCACGTGTCAGATATACTGCATATTGGATCTTTACATTACAGTTCATAACAGTATCAAAATTACCGTTGTGAGGTAAAGACAAAAAAAAAAAATTATGGTTGGGAGTCACCACAACCTGAGGAACTGTAAAGGGTCATAGCAATAGGAAGGTTCAGAAACTCTGATCTAGACACCCTGGTGGATACTTGAGGCAGAAGAACAGCAACAATGGATGCAAGTGGCTGGGCCATTATTCATCTGAAAGCACCTTAGAGCCTCCAAGTTGTCCTCAGTGTAATGTCTCACTGTTCTATGCAAAAAAAAAAAAAAAAAAAAAAAAGTACAGTAATTGCTGCAAGGGTTCAGGGCACCTTTAAATCATCAAGTGGACAAGGTAAGAAGGCAGTCTCCAATGCTGTCACCCTTCTTGCCATCTACAGGGCCTGGTTCCCAATTCCCCACTCTCAGCATGCCTTGCATAGGAACTTGTATCTTTGCTTCAAGCTCTTTCAATTCTGTGCTCAGCACCTGGACCCTTCATTGTGGGTCGTGGAGAGAAACCAACCCAGTTGCTTTGGGCTCCAGAGCTGCTACATATACAAAAGCTTAGGGGGAGGTTTCTTCCCCAGCCTTCCCAGGGTCCCATTAGGTGGCTAACCTGCTCTGGATGGCTCTGTGCAACTTGTTCTTGTAATATTCCACGACCCTTCACTGCGTAGGAGGAACCCAGGAGCTTGGGCCTTTTAGAACATTCTCCAGTACCTAAGGAATTAGACCCCAGAAGCTCTCAGCAGTGGGATTGAGAGTCACTAATGAATATAGAGACCAAATAGGAAGCAAAGTAGGGCAAGTTTGTTCTTTGTCTTAGGGTGCTCTCCTTCTGAACCCCATACACAGTCCCTTGACAGACCTAGGGGACCTGCTTGGCAGAGGCCTTACCCAGACCCCCTGTTACCAGTTCTAATGACACCCCACTCAGTCTCAGGCCTTGGCTCCCCCTTTCTCCACTGAATGCAGTCTATATCCTCCCTTCTCTATGCCAAGCCCCAAGACACAATTTCCTGGTGGGGAGATGCTTGTTGGATTATCCACATCTCCCATCCTCCTTGCATGTGAGCGAAATGTCAAAATAAAGCTGAAATGGCTGCTGTCAAGAGTGTCGTACCTTCATGCCAGCCACCTCAGCTGTCACTGACATCATCTAGTCCCTCCAGAGCCTAGGTGGTTCAAGGATAGTCAAGAGAGGCATATGCCACAGAGGGAACTACTCAGTGTCTTTCTGGAGCGCTGCCTTCAGATGAGGTGTCACTTGTACTCACATGAGACGAAGGGCGCGAGGCCACCACACACTTCTCATTGGCGTCAGTCAGCTCCTGCTCTGTACTGGGACAGAAACAGAGCTGATTCTCCCAGAGCTGTGGTTTCAGGTCTGCTTCCTCCCACAAAGATCAGATCAAATAAACGAGACAGTCAAGCTAACCACAAAGCAAATGGTAATAATTTTAATTCAACCACAGATCAAAAAGAAGGAAGGTAAATGTTCTCCACAGACATGAGAGGGGAGAGGAGCAGATGTGAAAATGGGGAAGAGAAAAAAGGAGGAGTAAGAAAAGAGGGGAGAAGAAAAGAGGGAGAGGAGAAACGCAGGAAGGGCACGAAGTCCCATTCTGACCTCCGGCTCTCTGCTTCTTCCCTGTGGCGCTCGGTTTCATAAAAACACAGAGCCCTGTGGCTGGATTGGTTTGTTCCTGGACTATGGCCTGTGGCTGTCCATCCAGACCAAACTCACATTAAATAAATTCCAATGTACACTGTACAAGAGAACCAGGCCCAGCCCTCTTCTCACAAGCTTCTCTACAAATAAAACCCCTCTCTGTCCCCTCTGTATCAGGGGTCCCTGAGGGCTGACGAGGACGGAGAAATACTGGCTCTCAAATGTCCATGCAGAAAGCCATCTTGGCTGATAGGGGTACAGTCATGACCCCAGTGATGCTCCAGCAACCCAGGCTGGGGTAAGAGGGAGTGGCTGGCAGAAGTACCCCTATGAACTATGTCACCCCACCCCGTATCTGTGCCCAAAGTCCTTTCTGTCCAGATGCAGCCCAAGTTGCACAGTCTGGGGTGGGGCGGGGAAGGAGGGGTCGTGCAAAGTGGCAAGGGGAGGACTTCTCAGCTTTCCCTAGAAGACCAATAACCAAAGGCAAGGCAGGAAAGGTATGCCATGACAGGTGGGGGCAGAAGATGCAGGCAGGTGGCCCCTCCCTTGATCATTCTGCAGGTGGGTGGGCCAGATTAGCCACAACCTTGGCTTGGTCCACAGCATCCAGCAGGTTCTTGGCATCTACAGCCAGGGTATGGGACGCTGTGAGCATCTGTCGCTTGCAATCCTCGCTCAGGGATGTCACAGCATTCTGCTGAGCTAACCTCATCTTGTTGATGAGTTCTGCCAGGTCTTTGTTGAGCAGTTTCTGGGTCCCTTCAATCTGGTGGGCAAGCACACAGGAGAGGCTGAATGAGTAATGGGTTGGGGTTAGGGGGAAGCATTGGCTAAAACATCAGAAGTTCCCTAGGAGCAAACTAATCTCAAGCCTGGGCTGAATCCACCCTTCCGTACAGACTGGAGATGGTCCACAAAGATCAATGTAGCAGGCATCCCAGTGGCCTCCTTCACAGAAGCAATCCCAGCATGCAGACCAGAGGTCAACCACATTCACCTACTTTGATGGGTGATCTTGATTGTCACACTGATGGCATTTAGAGTGACGGTGGAAACAAACCACTGGGTGTGTGTGTAAAGGAGTTCCTAGATAGGGTTAACTGAGGTGAGAAGGCACGCCTTAACTGTGGTGACAGCACTCCACAGGCTGAGGTCTTGGGATGAGGAAATAGGAGAAAGCATTTGTCATTTCCCTACTTCCTGACTGTAGATGCAATGTGAACAGTCCCCTCATGCCTCTCTCACCACGGCTTACCCATCACAGGGAACTGCACCTTCAAACTACGGAGCCAAAATAAACCTTTCCTTTCTTTGGACATTTTTTTGAACTCTTTTGCCCCAACAGTGAGAAAAGTAATGCACTGATTCTTTAGCTGTCTGTGGTAAAATGCAGAGATCAGATCCTATGTCTATTTAACCATTGCATTGCCAGTGCTTAACATGATGAACACATAGCACTAAAGCTACTGTATAAAGCAATGAATGAGTAAATCAATTGGCTGTTCCAAGCCCTCCCATCAGCTCTGTACTGGGAAATCCACTCAGTGATCTGTCCAGGTTCTCAGGAGCAGTCTCAGCCCTCTGGTGGCACCTGCCCAGCTGGGACTCCTTGGTAGGTCACTGCTGTCACCCAGAAGGTAGCAGCTCTGTCCTTGTTCTGTCTTGCCTTGAACAACCACAGACAGTAGAGATCATATGACAGCATAAATGACCACTGGAAGGCAAGGTGTCAGAGCGCTGCATTTTCCAGACAAGAAACAGATCTGTTTGCCACGGCCACAGGAGCACAGCAGTGCAAACTTTACATGCTCATTCTTGAACAGTCCTGGAGGTCCGAATTCTGAAATAAGTTCCACAGTGGGTTGAGGGCATCAACGGAGGATGACCAGAGGCGCTTCTGTTAATGAGTCCAGGGGAGAGTCTGTTCCTTGTTTTGCCCAGCTCTGAGATTATCTCTTACCTTGTGATTCCCTCCAGCAGAGGCATAGCACTGCCCCCACGTTCCCTTGTCTCTGACTCTGGCCGCTTGACCCTGGATACCTCATTATTGCCTCTCTTGCTTGGGACCCTTAACTTTATCAGCTCAATAAAGTTCCTTTTGCCACGTAAGGGACTCTGCATGTGGGCCATGGCTTTTTTGGACATTACTGGGCATCATTCTACCAGAACACCAGGACTCCCCTTGACTTCAGCAATAGTTTGTTATCTCAATAAGGTATCTAAAAGTAGACGGTTACTAGGTAATGGGTGGGGGAGGAAGGTGTGCATTTACTTGCATATAACCATTGAGACCATTTGAGACCTAGACTGGGATTTTTACTAGGTCCCACAGCAGGCTCAGCCCTGTGGTGCTAACAGCTCTGATGCTCTGCAGAGACATTTGCTGGGAGAACACTCACCTCTGTCCTAGAAGATGCTGGCAAGGAGGGCAAGAGATCGTCCACACTGCCGATGAGCTTCCGCAGGTTCAGCCCCACATTCTAAGAGAGCAAAAGCAACGCAGCTGTTCACCTGCCTTGTGAAAAGCTTCCCCTCCTGGGACTGCACTCTGGGATAACACTTGTCCTCTGAGACTGCCTGAGATTGGACTCTCTAGTGTCTCCTTGCTCCCCTGGGGTCCACAGGGCTGTTAAGTGAGA